GAAGATCTGTGGGATGAGAGACCCGTAGAATGAGAAGACCCTTTGGATGAGAATACCCGTAGGATGAGAAGACCCCTTCGATGTGAAGACCCGTTGGATGAGAAGATCCGCGGGATAAGAAGACCCGTTGAATGAGAAGATTCGTGGGATGAGAAGACCCGTAGGATGAGGAGACCCTGAGGATAGGGGGTGAGAAGACCCGCTGAATAAGAAGATCCGCGGGATGAGAAGACTTGCAGAATGAGAAGATCCGCGGGACGAAAAGACCCGTAGGATGAGGAGACCCGCGGGACGAGAAGATCCGGGGAATAAGAAACCCGCGGATTGACAAAAACAAATGACATACTAACTATCGGCGTAATTTTGCAATAAGCGCATCTACTAAAAAGAGACGTTTTCCCGTCTTGTCACGAACATGGTACAAAGAAAAATTTCAGAGTCCCCATGAGGAATCCAACATTAGACCTTCGGCTCTTACTTGGTGTAGAAGACACAGTTACGTCACAATAAAATTTCATCACAACTGAGCCACAGAAACTCCTATAAGGCTATTAGTTAAGTAGCTTCACAAGTGAACTCAATTCATTTATTCGAAGTTTGCACGTTTACCTGTCTGATTCGCTACCCTTGACGAGAACCCATGGCTGGTTGGATTGAAAATACTGATTACCAAGTCTGGATATGTTCAGCACGCCTCTTAATCCTTCTCGGAGCCTGCCAAGAAAATTTTTAAGAATTTAGGCTAAGTTTGCGAAACATAAATCAACAATACAATGGACTGAACAGAAATAACATAAAAAAAGGTTCGTGGTATCAACTACGCCCCATTCTCCTTCAGAGACCTGAGGCGCACAAACTTTTGGAAGGGGAGGAGTATGAGGGGTCTGTCACTCTCACCACCACGTCCCTAGTAAGATTTTTTATTCGCGCCAGCTTTCCTTGAAGACACTAATCCAATATGTCGACTTCAAAACTTGATCAGAATATTGAACAACCGCTCGCCACAAAATACAGTGGGATACGTATACTATTTTGTATACTGGTTATCGTTTAAGGCCATTCTTTTTGTTGTTGTTTTTTCCCGTTGTAGCCCCCGAATCACCTCATTTTCTCCAGATCATCGATGTATGTCTTCAATTCTTTATTGATAAGAGCTATGAAATTCTTGTCCTCATCAGTCAAATCTATGATGGGTATGGCACCACCAAAGAAGTTCTGTACAAACATGAGGGCTCTGAAGAAAAAAAAGTAGGTAATCGTTACTCATGAAGAAATGAGAAAGTTAGTTAGGAAATATGTTGCATTAGACCGCTTTTCGATTGCGCGTCATGAGACTAAAACCAAAGTAATCACGGTGTCCAATCAAAACAAATAAATATATCATTATCAAAGTAATCAAAAGCAAACTGCCTAAAGCGCGGGAAATTGCGGGCGACCAACTCGCAATTGGTGTATGGTTTTGCTCCTGATTGGCTAAAAAGCACGCACTGAAGTGTGACAGAAAATTTCAACTCCCGCTACAGTATTACCGCTAAATCAAATAATAAGGTCAAGAAAATGCAGCAGTTTCTCGCTATCTAAAAAGATCTAGAGTGTTGTTAAAAAAAACCGTGACAGTACCATAAGAAATGAAGAGAGAACCGTAAAATGAATATGCACATTGATGTTAGGAAGCAACTTAAAACCCAGTGAAACATTTTAAAGTTAATCATTGTTGTGAACGGCCTCTATGAA